ATTGTTGTTGTTATTATTATGAACATTATTGTTGTTATTATAATTATTATCATCATCTTCATTCTTATGATTATACGGGCGCGCTCCCCCTCTTTGCTCGCTCCCGCCCGCTCGCTCCCCTCTCTGCTCGCCCCCGCCTGCGACAGCGCCGCAGCTCCGAGGCGCGTCCCCGGCAGTAGAAAGCAGCGCGCACGTCGCTGAGGCCTCACAGCTGCTCGGACACGCGAAGGAAATAAACACCGAGAAGTTTGACTCCAGTTCGACTCTGGTTCGACTCCAGTTCGACTCCGGTCTGACTCCAGCGGCTCCTCCTCGTTCTAACACAGCTCACCAGTCAAACCACGACTCGCTCCTCATCATGGCGACCGCTGCGGTGTCTGCCCCCGCCGGATGCGGCCCCAGCCCCGGGTCCGGGACCGAGCTCGTCCGCGGCCAGGCCTTCGACGTCGGGCCTCGGTACAGCAACCTCTCCTACATCGGGGAGGGAGCCTACGGGATGGTGTGGTGAGTGCAGCCGGACACGGGCTCACCGACGCGGCGTGTCGCTCCGCTAGCACAGCGCACAGTTAGCTTAACTCACATCCGAGGCGATCTTACATGTTGATGCTAGCGAGCAACTGGGTCACTAGCTGCACGAAGCAGCGAGGGAACTGTTCTCCTCCAACTACACTTTACTCATCATTCTGCTTTTAATCACTAACTAACTAACCAACTAACTAACTAACCAACCAACTAACTAACTAACCAACCCTGTGTTGTTGGTAAACTTCAGTAACAATCTCTCTTCTCTTGATCTGATTCAGACTCATGAGATCAACTCAGTTCTATCACAGTCATGTTTTCTCCACTTTATATAAATATATTACACAGACAGAAGAATTCAGTTCACATGTTTTCATCTCTATGTTCACATCACAATGTGTCACCAGCTGAATGAAGCCAGTGAACAAAGCTCTGTTCTCCATCATCTACACTGAACTTTACCTTTTAGTGTGTTTTAACCAGAAACTTGTGTTGTTGGTGAACTCCAGTAAAAAAAACTCTGTTATCGTCTGTGAACTGACTGAAGCTGAACGAACTTCTCGTTTTAATTATATTTGTAAAGTCCCCAACGTTCTATCAGCATTAACGTTTCTTATCTTGACCATTTATCCTCAGTCTCTATCTGCACAGTCACAGCAACAGTGGCATTAGCTAACAGAAGCTAGTGTCCTATTGTGAAGATTGAATTAAATCACAGCAGATTGTCTTTCTATTGCTGTTCAGTTTATCGATGGTAAACTACATTAAAAAACACCAGTATTCCTTTATTTTAACCTCTTCAATTAGAAATCCAGACCATAAAATGAACAAAGTGCTTTGTATTGTCGTGATATTTCTACGACAGGGACGTGAACGATCCTGCACCTTAAATTAACATTGATTTCACTTCACTCATTTGTCGTCTCGATCTCTTTATCTTACGTTTTCTACGTGTTCACATTTGTGGTCGTTGCGTTCTCTTATAGTACGTTTAGTTTTTTTACTTGATAATATTCGCTTGATGTTGTCGTGCACAGTATGTTAAAGTTTTGTTCGTGATATTTTCGCGGTGTACTTGCAGAAGGAGCAGCTGATGTGCAGATCTAGTACAAGCTAAAGGAGATAAACAATCTGGAAACTGTTTGTTCTACCCACTGATATGTTATCAGACCTGTAGTCAAGCATGTAAGATTCAAAACTCGACTGACGCTCCATTTTATTTGTGGTGTGTATTTATTTGATCCTGTTGCACAACTCTCTCCTCAGTTTTGCTAAATGTATATCATACATTCACTGAGACTCTGAATCTCAAGCCTGCGGTGGTGCAGTTCACCCTGAATGCTCACACTCTACTGGATTACATAATCTACAGTCATTTCAAACAACAGCAGGTCTCCTTTTCTTCTGCGGTGAGACCAGTTGGAATTTTCTGAGAGCGTTGATTTGACTCACAGCCCGTTCTCAGAGTCGAGGCACGGCTGCTTGTTTAGCATCGTTATGTCTGCAGAATAGGAAAACGCAGCTCAAGGCTGAAGTGGAGCAGAGAGAACGTTGCTGTGCAGCAGCTCGGTGGTAAAGTGAAAGTAAAAGGGACGGTAGCACATTACAGTGAGGGCTGAAAGCTGTGAAGTGATGGTGACATTCCTGCAATTCAAATCAAAAATCTCACACAAGGTTTGTTTAGGATGTTTTTAATGTTATAGAATAAACAAGAGGATTTTTTTTTTCCGGCTAAAGATTCAAACATTAACTTGCTCCAGCATCATATTAGTGACAGTTTTCTTTATTTAAATTTTTTTTTGTGAAGTAGATTTACATTGGAATTTATATTTGAGGCTGTTTTAAAGAATTATACCAGCTACAATTATCCCCCAAAAATGATCTGCAGATTAAAGAATAATGGAAATCATCCTTATTTGCAGCGCTAAAAAGATTTTAGAATATAAATCATGGAAACCTAGAATAATAATAATATATATTTGAACTTGAAGGATATTCTCCATTTCTTCTAGTTTGAAGGGCAGTTTTTGTTACGAGAGGCACTGGGCATGTTTTACACTTGCAATGATCGTTAATGTGACGAGCACTAACTTGTTTTTTTTCACTTGGTGTTTCTGCTCCTCACCTCTCGTCACAGTGTCGGCGGCACTCTGACGTTTTCTACCGTGAACTTTCTTTTTATGCTGTTTCAGTATCTGTCAGTCGTTAAATGTTCACCAGAGCAACGTCTCTCCACCCCATGTTTTCTACTGGTTTCTGGAAATGCATCTTCCGGTAATGTGAAATGCATTAGCAGAATAAAATGACAGCTCTCCAGATGTTGACCTCCTCGTCCCACAATAGACCAAGTGCTGCGTCTTGTCTGGAGCAGAATATTATCATCTGATTATGATTATCATCACTTATGGTTTTCAATGGGCTAAAAACCACACATTTTATGTGACCAGTGAATTTCCACTCTGGAAAGTTTTAATCTATCAGTATATTTATGAGCAGGTGTGAACAAAGCCTCTCAGATCAAAACCCAAAACCATGAGCTCTTCTGCTTTTAAATTTGAGTCTCCCAAGGAAACGGTGATATGATGCATTAGTGTGATAATCTCAAACCCAATACAGGAAACAACACAATGACTCGAGAGAATTGAGCATCTCTTATTTCCTGAAATCGCAAATTATAGCAACAAGCACAGACAGCTCCGTTATGGTTGACTCAGGTTACAGGGATCAGACGAATAACAGAAACTGAATGTTCATAAATATGATTTTCTTTCACAAGCCCTTCTCGCATGTTAGTGCATCATGTGAAACCAAATAATGATCAAATCATTGAATGATGTCAAAGAGAAAAAGAGAATAGCTGTGGAAGTTATGATAACATTTATTTCAAGTTGAAACACAACGAGCTTCCAGGTGAAAATAAAAGAGAAGAGATTAGATTCCGTAGCTCTTGAAAATCTTCCTTGTGGAACATTCAAACTCAGAACATGAACATAATTATGTCACCAGCACCACATCACTCACACTCATGCATCAATGGAAACATGTGGGGTCTGGTTGAAACCAACAATAGCTCAAATGAAAACCACACCCCATGATAATTCAAAATGCAAATGCGAAACGTATAAAATCTGAAATGCAGGCTATAAATAAGGATTAAAGAAAAAAATGCATTAGTTGGAATAAATAATACGATATTCAAGGAAAAAGTGAAATGTAATTTACAATAGCAATGTTATAAATGACAAACCTCTCACACCAGAAGCAGAGCCAAATAAACCGTGTCCATTATTCTCTCATGTTTATATGAGAGTCCAGTAATTAGCTCAGTTTAACCAGATGGATTTCATTGATGTGTCTTATTGTCTCCTTGCACTTGTCTCCTCGTGTTCTTCTTGAGACCTGTGGTTTCCAGTCTCTTGGTCACGTTGCGTTGATGTGCAGCACGAAGCGGTGCAACGTGCACTTCACAGACGGCCTTTTGGTTTGCATCTAAAATATTGTCTAAGCCACATCAGGAAGTTGCTCTGCGTTGGTCTCTTCTTGTGGCGTTGTGTTTGCTGCTGTTGCCGTCTCGTAAACAGCTTCGCTCAGTGCTGAGGTCAAAAAGTGATGTGGGCGGCTTTTAACTCGTCGTTGGTTTTATGCATCTAACGTATGAACACGCGTTTAACAGTTTCAGCAGAATGATTGAAAAAGATTTTTATCTACTGAAGATTTGTCTTCAGACTCAACAACAGGAACATGCGGGGGGACAATCAGGCGAGGGGCGGAGCCTGTAGAGCAGCAGGAGGCGGGTCATGACGTCTAAACTCTGCTGTGGAAACATCAGTGTTGTTGTTTACAGCTCGTCCGCACCGGCGTCGGCCCTCATCACAAAAAAGACCTGGAATCTCCTCGTCTTTCCAAGTTGACGTCTTCTACGCGTATGACTCCTCTTCTTCATCCTGTTTCCAGTTTCACGTCAGTCGGGTTAGAAACCTCATCAACACGTCCACTCGCTCACTGTGATTTGAACGAGTTCTCAGTATGAGTTTCTCTCCTTATTCAAGAGGGTCGTGTTTCAGTTCCTGACTTCTGTGGGTGTGAACATTTCACCAGGAACAAACTATTTGAATCACTGTATTATTGAAGGTATTGGCCGCCACGGGGAGTGAACTGGTTTTAGACCCGTATGGAAGTTTTGAGTTTTTCAGGATCCCTTGTGTTACAAACCGTATGAGGGCGGTCGACAGTGAGGCACGTCTGTGTCATTCTCAGAGTGGGTCTATTTCTGTTTTCATAGCCTCTTGTTGACGCTGAGGCTGTTGCATGTCAGCGCTCTGCAGTGGCAGAGGGTTGCGCAAATTGACGGTGCACGGAGCCTCTTCACACGAGCTCCTGTTCGCGTACGCCGTCTGCTCACATGGTCACGAGATAGTGTATCGCCCTCCGTGATGATATTCAGGCTCTGTCGTTGCATACTCTGCCTTTTCACCATGCCCATAGGAGCAGTTAGATCATGGGGGGGGGGGGTAGATGCTGGTCACGGCAGTTCCATTGGTGAGTTAACCAGCCAACACATGTCAGCTTATTCAACAAAACAACAGATTATTTTTCAAAATGTTCTGACCTTGTATAGACAATCAACAGATCAATCAATAAGAGAAGAAGAATCTCTTGTTTCTGCCATAAACCTTCACGCCAGAGAAAATGAGCAAATCTCCACATCTCAGCGGCTCCAGACTAAAAGCTTCAGCCACGATGTTTGATCTGAACCTGCGTGCAGTCTGGAAGTGAGCAGGTGTGGAGTCTGAACAAAGCTCCCCACTTTTAATTCAGATGAAATGTTACGGTGGAACCACTTGTTGAGAAATGCCGTTCCCTAATTTGCACCAGAGAACCTTTTACCAAAACAAATATATAGAACTGACACCTCTCCAGTAAACGTTCCGCCCTGAACCGTTTGTTCCTCCTTCTGACTCCTTCTAAGCTCAGTGTCGACT